CCTACCTGGAATACTACCACGAGGCGCGCCCGCATCAGCGGAAGGACAACAAGCCACTGCTCGGGGTCTGGCCCGAAGTTGATGACCCACCGCACGAGGCCGAAGAGCTGGTCTGCAGAGCGTGGCTCGGCGGCGTGCTCAAGCACTACGAACGCAAGGCGGCCTGACGCACTTCCAAGCGAAGCAGTGAGGCGACTCCGCGCCCGTTCGCGATTCTTTGCCGTGCTGCTGACAGAGAGCACGAACCGCGACCATCGGATCCGCCAATTACACGCCGCCAGCGACCACTTTGACCTTCAACCATCGGGCGTTTTCATCTGACAACCTTCCTGAACACGACGCGTCGTGCTGTTTGTCGACGATACGGAGCAACGCTACGACAACTGAGCGGTGATTGCTGTGCGATGCGACGTGCGACCTCGTCTCGGCTGGTTGGTCGCCTATCGATCAGAGCAGGCAATAGCAGCAGAGCAACAGCAAGGATGTTGGCACCAGCGTTTGCCAAGCGAAGATAGGGGCGAACACCACGGCAGGACCGGACAAGATGGCGAATCTCCAGGCACGACTCGCACGAGACCTTGAGGCGTATCGCCTGAGCAGCCTGAATTTCAAAGACTGAAGTCGCTTCTTGGTGATGAAGCGAGTTGCCAAGAGGCCGGTTAGCACGCTAAGTGCAGCTATCGAAGTGGTACTTTTCACGGTCACCTGCGTACCCACGAGCCGCTGAACGTCAGTGGGCAGAGACAAGAACAGCAAGAAGAAGTAGACGAGGAACCCAACCACCCAAGCAACAAAGCCGAGTTGTGTCGTCGAGAACGGGTCCTGCTTTCTCCGTAGTGTCCCGGTTACTACGTCCAGATAAGAGCAGCCGTGCCATAAACGAGAATGGTGGTCTGCGGCCTGGTACCAGAACACAGAGACGACTGCGTACAGAACGAGCCAGCGGAAGCGGCCTAATGCGAAGTAGGAGCTGACCTTGTCCCTTGTGCCCTCGGAGAGAAACTCGAAGGAGTCGCTCAGCACACTACGAGCTGTCTCCTGGCCAGCCGACAGTGCTTCACCGCTCGCCCCTACGTGCAGCCACATCAGAAAGAAAAAAATCAGCAAGAGCAGCAGATTGGTAGCTCGCCACGAGCTCCTTATGCAGTCTCGTGCGATGGCACTTACGCGTCGGTGGTTCTTGCCGAGAGCACGAACAAGGTCCGTGATAGCGGCTAATGCCGTCGCAGCGAAGATAACCGCGATTGGAAACGTGACTAAGACACTTGTCGATGCAAGCGTCTCAATACCAATAGCGAACGGATACGCCGCGAGGAACGGAAGCAAGGCCAGCTTGCCAATACTCTGGCCGCGGAACGATAAGATAAGACTGTAGGTAAGGCAAAACACGGTGGCAGCGTAGACGTACGGAAAGGCAGCATTGTACTGGGTCACGCCGAGCAGCGTCGCGAACGTGTGCAGGGTCGCACACGCAATGAACGTTGCCTGGTACTTTGCTGGACCTCGGGTAGCAATCAGCAGATAGATCGTTAAGAAGCCCAACTTTGATAGGGTCGGGAGCGTGGCGAGGTAGGCCAGGTAGGCCAAGGCCTGCGGGAAGACAATGAGAGCTGCGAATGGGTAGGCCCATCTCGTAAGCACTGGTGTCGTGCCACGGTGTTCCGTGAGTTCTACGCAAATGTCTTGGGCAACAGTGGACATCGACTTCTTGGCTCCTCGAACACGCAGTACCGCATGCATCGGAAGGCAGCTCTTCGGTACTCCAGTGTCATCAGGTCGGGAGCCCGAAACGTGCCGTGCTTCTAGCAGAGTTCGCCGCCGGTGCTCAATTATTGCGATGCCACGTGCCGATGTCGCTGTTTTCAGCGAACCCCGACGACCTCGAGGTTATGAGGCTAGACCCGCGAGCTTACGTAACTGCTTTCTCTACCAGGAATTATGAAACTCGACTTCCCTCTGGCCTTCCCCCGATCTATGTACCACCTGAGATGAGAGAATCGGGATGTTCGGATCCTACTCCGCTGGCCCTCCGTAGCGGAGGGGCCTGCTGAGGCGTAGCCGAAGCAGGCCCCGGAGCGGAGGTGGGCCAGCGGGCGGCGAACACGGCCGGGGGGAGGTACCCCAGCGAGCTGTGTGGCCGATGGTGGTTATAGTCCAGACGCCACCGATCGACGCACCAGCGAGCGTCCTCCAAGCCTAAGAACAGCTCGCGATCGAGCAGCTCTTGCCGGAAGCGGCTGTTGAAGCTTTCCACGTAGCCGTTCTCCCACGGGCTCGCCTTGGCGACGAAGAGCGTCTTCACGCACGCCCGATCGAGCCAACGCCGTACGCTCTGCGCAACGAACTCGGGCCCGTTATTGCTGCGGATGTGCTCCGGCGCTCTGCTCCGTGACGCCGATCTGCTTACAGACTTCGGGAACCTTTTTACCGCGGACCAACTCCACCTCGGCCTCACGCAGCTTCGCGATGATCTCTTCTGGCTTGAACTTCGTTCCTCGTCCCATCGGAATGCTCTCCTTCGACTTCCGCCCACTGCCTGGATTCTCGCTCCAAACGCGGGCTCTTTTGAAGGGGGCAGGTCACTGCTCGGCCCGCGGTATGACGAGACCAGCGAGAACCGCCGGTTCGCCGAGATCGTCAACGACGCCGAGTTGATGGCGCGGGGCAAGCGGGCGGCCGAGAAGACGGACCCGCTCGACTGGCTGGAAGAGAGCCGGCTGGCGTCAACCAAGACGGTCTACACGGCCGAAATTCTGGGGCCGGTCCGGGCGGTGGCGGAGCGCCAGACGGACTCGATGCCGACGGTCAGTCTGTCGCCGGAATACCTGGAGACCGCCGGACGGATGGCGACGCTCAGGGCGTGCCAGGCGAGCTGGCGGCTGGCGAAGGTTTGGGCGCTGGGCCTTTAGTTGCTCGGCGACTTCGCTCTGCATGTTATCGGGCATCCCGTTGGTGGCGGGGATATGCTATCGGCGCTGCAAGCGGTGTGACCGGTAATTGAGTCTGCCGTTTGCTTCTTTCATGCTGATCGCCTAGTAAAATGACAGGAGCGGTTGTTGGGGTGGGCTAGTTCCTCTAAGAACCATGGAGGGTCTGGGATGAGTACTGCGTACGTTCGATCCTGCAAGTACTGTGGAAGAACGATTCGTATGGCGGAGATGCCCGATGGAAAGTGGGTGCCGTTCGAGATCGATGGCGCCGGCCGTCATACGTGCGAACAAACGGTAGGCGGATCGGAGGGTGAGCCCGCGGGTTCTTCGTTATACAGCCCCGTTGTTGCTGAGGAGCCGTGTGTCGCTGCTTCCACTCCGCGCTTGGATGATGAGCCGATGGCCAAGGGTTGCGGGCTTCTCAGTCTTCGCGGGCTGGGCGTCGTCATCGCTATCTTGCTATTGCTATGGCTCTTCATCGTCCGATGAACTTTGTGTGGTTTCCACTATGCCTCTCTGCAAAGAGAGGCGCCACGTCAGCCAACCACCCAAGCCGCCGATAACCGGAGGCTATTCGACGAGCACCTGTCTCAACGCCACGACATTCACCAGCTTTGTGTCATTGCCGTTTTAAGCACGATCCTAATTCGCTGACCAGGATTAGGGCGGACCTTACGTCGAGCGCGTCGTGCGAGAGCGCTTCGATCAAGAGTTCGTCGTCCAGATACAAATCAAGTTTCCGCACCTGCTTCGCCGCCACTCGGGCCGCCAATTGGGCGGCGTCGATTTGCGAAACATCGACTTTAGACAGGCGCCGCGTCGCATCATCGACGCTCACTGACAGCTCGATGGCGACCTTGTGATCGGCGGGCGAAAGCCCGAGCAAGTCGGCTATGAGGCAGAGGGTTCTCTGCGTCTTCGTGCCCGTCCACGTGAACCAGAGGCAGGAGTTGGACGAGAGTGGCACGAGCCTATGTGCGTCAATCCCCGCCTCATGGGCAGTGCGTCGTGCGCTATTCAAGAGCCTGGCGCCAGTGGCGTTCACATAGTGGCACGGACGGTCGCCCAAGAGCACTTCACGCATCATCTCACGTACACGCGGGTGGACCTCGCCACCACCGCTTGCAAACAGCGGCGGCTTCTTGCCTTTTGCGGGACGGACGACGATCGCGCGCCGATCATCCTCCACCGCGACGACCTGCCACCTACGTCCCGCCAGTAAGAAAAACTCACCAAGCCGAGGCAAGTCGGAGGCGGGCAGGGAGCCGACCAGTGACGATCCGAAATAAACGCTGTAATCGTCCGACGCGGCGAACGCGCTGTAGAAGGAGTAATGGCCGGTGATACGCTCACCCTTGGGCGCGAGAATTAAGTCGCCTCCCTCCATCTGCTCGATCAGCTCCCGGTCGCCCAGACTCCGAAGGACGCCGGTGAACAGCCCCTGATCGATGCTCCGGAACGCGCCTCGTTGGCAAAGCGTGTTGTAGAGCTGGTCGGCGCGTCGCCCTCCGGTCTCGGCAAGAACGCTGAGCAGTTGGTGAGTCAGCGTGCTGAGGTCGTGGGTGGCGAGGTCGGGAGGTTCGACCCAGGGAGGGTCCTGGAGCATCAACTCCGTGAGAGCGATTGCGCGGAGCAACGCTGGGTAGAGCCGGTCGATAAGCGTCGAGTCGGCCGTTACCTCGTCTTCCCGCACATACATTCGAAGGCACTGAGGCTCTCCCTCCCCGCGACCACTGCGACCCAGTCGCTGCACCAAGGAAGAAACGGACCAAGGAGGATCGACCTGGCCCACCGCCACGACCGAGCCGATGTCGATCCCCAGCTCTAGCGTCGAGGAGCAAAGTGTCGTGCGAGTCCGGTCCGACTGCATCTCTTGCTCGGTGAACTCGCGCACCTCTTTGCTGAGAGAACCGTGATGCACCAAAAACTCTTCGGGGCGTCCCTCCGAGCGGCAACGTGAGTTCAGCGCATCGGCCAGCTGTTCAATGTCCGCCTTCCGGTTCGCAAAGACGAGTCCTTTGGTTCCGGCGAAGTGCTCGTACAGATCGCCGGTCATCGCCGGTGGGGGACCGCTCTCCGCTTCCTCTTCGTTCTGCTTGGGTCTAGTGAGGGAGTAGGCATGCACCTTGTACAACAGCCGCTTCTCGCCGCTCGGCGCTTGGACCAGTAGCGTTTCACCGTCACCGTCGGGGCGAAGCCATCGCTGGTACACCGGAAAAGCATCCCCCAGCGTCGCCGACAGGCCGATGAAGCGAAATCGGCCATGGACATGCTCTTCCAGCCGGTGCAACAGGCTCCTGAGGTGCGTGCCCCGTTCGTTGCCTACCAACGCATGGACCTCATCGATCACCACGTATTGGAGCGAACCGAACAGCCGACGGAGGCTCGTGCTGCGGTTGATGAACAAAGATTCAATCGACTCGGGTGTGATCAGCAGCACCCCCGAAGGCCGGGAGAGGAGGGCCTTCTTCTTCCCCGCATCGACGTCTCCGTGCCAGCGATGCACCGCAATTTCGGCCCGCTCGCAGAGTCTCTCCAGCCGCCGAAACTGGTCATTGATCAGCGCCTTGAGCGGGCCAACGTATAGCGCTTGTACCGAAGGGGCGGGCGACTCGAATAGTCGCGACAGGATCGGCAGGAATGCCGCCTCTGTCTTTCCGGAAGCGGTCTGCGCCGAGATAACCAGATCGGCTNNGGAGCAGTCGGATCGTCTCTTCCTGGATCGGGCGCAGGCTCGGCCACTTCATGTCCCAAAGGACCCGCTGGATTGGCGGGGCGAGCAGCTCGAACGCGTCGTGCCCACTCACAGCCGGAACTCGCTGAGGTCATCGCCAGGTTGCGCTGGCCGTAGTTCCGCCGGTGTGTGGGCGGCGACCTCGTCATTCGCCGATGGCCCCCGCTGAAGGAGGTCGCGCCAGCCACGCGAGGCGTCCTGCTCCAGCATGTTGAGCAGGTTCACAAAGTCTTTGACCGTTTCCCTCGGCGTCTGGAAGTACGCAGCCCCCATCCGCTCGCTGCACGCCTGCATGTAAGCGACAATCCCTTCGTCGGGGATCAACCTTTCGGCGTCGTGCCCGCCGCCATGCACGTGACGGATGTTGGTGAGCAGGACGTAACAATCCTCGGGGCTCAGGTTCTGCAGCTTGATGACTGGCGACGAGTAATCCTGCCGGCCGGCGACAGCATAGCGGTTTGGCGCCAAGCGGGTCGCGAGCGCCTCGTAGCTATAAAGTCCCCGCCGTGGATCCTCCAGGCAGTCGTCGGTGCCGGCGAACAGGAACGCGAGCCCTTCAACGCGGCCTTGGAGGCAATCATTGATGATGCGCAGCACCGCTTCGTAGTTGCCGTTGCGGGCCGCGGTGTTCGCCAGCCGGTGCGACAGCACGACCAACTCGTCGATGTTCACCAGCAGTCCCGCGTAGCCGGCGATTCGGACGAAGCCCGCAAAGAGCTTTAAGTAATCGTAAAAGCCGGCGTCGTCGATGATGGTTCGGACTTCAAGATCCTGACGCGCCTCGGTTTTGGTCGTGTACTCGGCGCGGAGCCAACGCAGGGCGTTCGACTGCAACCCTTCGTTCTCCGCTCGATAGCCCTCGTAGTACTTCGTGACCACTTTGACAAAGTCGAAGCCACTCACCAAGTCCTGCAATGGGCGCAGCCGCTCCTCGAACTCGCGCTTGACGTCTTCCTCACTGCCGCCGTTCTGGCTGCGTACCGTGTGATCGACTTCCCCCACCCAGCGCTCAATGACGTTTTGTAGCGCGTTGCCTTCCGGCTGCGAGCGCGTCGACAGGTTTCGCATCAGTTCGCAGTAAAGCGATCGGGCCTGCCCTCCCGAACCGTGGAATCGCCGGTCGGTCGTGATGTCGGCCTGGGCGACGACGAACTTCTTCTTCTGAGCGACGTGGCGCACGAGATTTAGAAAGAAGGTCTTGCCGCTTCCAAACCGGCCGACGATGAACCGGACCGAAGCGCCCCCTTCCTCCACCACGTCGAGGTCCTTGAGCAGCGCGTCGACTTCATTCAACCGTCCCACCTGGATGTGGTGTAGCCCGATGGCGGGCACGACGCCCGCCGCCAGCGACTGGAGGATGGCGGAACGCTCTCTGCCGGGTATTTTCGTCAAGGTTAATTCTCCTCGCTCAGCAAATCGGTGTTGACGCGGTACGGGTCGCCTTCCTCAACGAGCCAGTCGCCATACTTATCGAGCGACCATTCGTTCACCGCCTCCAGCGCTCCAATCAGCATCACGCCGCATCGATCCGCCAGCTCTCGCAGCTCCGCCGCGGGCCACTGCTCACGCCGTAGGAGTTCATTCAGGAACGGGGTGAAGCGTTCGTCGA